AAAAAAAAAAAAGGCACCTGTTTCTTTTTTTTTAAACCAACTTTTTTTTATATGTATTTATGCATACAAGAGCTGGGGTGCAGCCAGAGGTGCAGGGGGTGAGAGGACTCCCCAGAGACAAAGAGTGGGGAGCAGAACAGGCCAACTGAAATCCACTGCTGAGGGGAGCAGCGTGGGGGGAGGGCAGAAGGGGTCTGCAGCGCCCTGTGGGTCACTCCCTGGCCATAGTGGCTGGCGATAGCTTGATAGTGCTGAGGCTTAACCCTTTGTACCACCAGGGAAGCCCTGAAGCAGACTTTCTGCGTTCAAAGGCCTTTCAGGAGGCCAGGCCAGCCGGGCATTCTCTGTGCCGCCAGATGATGAGAGAGAGAGGGGATCTCTCTCATCAGTGTCAGCAAGGCTGCTTGGCCAGCCCACCTCAGCCTGAGCGGCTTCACCACTCTAGGTCTGCCCACGGTTCTGGCGGCTGCAAGATCAGGGTGCCCGGTGCCTGGGTCCCAGGAGAGCCCCCCGCCTGGGTGTGCCTGGCCTTCTTCTCCCTGAGCCTCACTTGCAGACAAGAAGCTGGTGTTTCTCCCTCACCTGCAGAGGCGTGACCCCACCGTGGGCCTCTTCCTGCGTGACGTCCTCCAGCTCGACCTTCCGGAGGGGGCACAGCAGGCCCTTAGTTCTCAGAGTCCTCGTCTGAGTCACCAGGGAACGGGAGTCTCGAGTGGGGGCCGGGTAGGGCCCGGCCCACCAACTACGGCAGGACTAGAATGGGGGGGTGTAGCCCGCTGCTGGAGAGCCGGAGCCGGTGCCGAGGAGAACAGCCTTTCCGGGAGGGACGCAGCTGCCCTGTAACCCGGGGAAGGCAGGTGCTGTGGTCAGGCGCCCCCCGGGAGGCTCCCTGCAGGCGAGTGATGGCGAGCAGGCAAAGCGTCTGCCAGGCAGGGACTTCACTGCGCTCCCGGGCGAGGTTCCGGACCCCTCAGCCGCACCCGCTGGGGAACACGGGTGAGCGTTTGTTTATAGGCGAGGAAGCTGCTTTTTCAGAAACGGATTCACCAGTGACTTTTATCAGTTCCTGGGGTGCAGGCAGTTCCAGAACTTAGGGGGCCCCCAGTGTGCAGACAGTAGCAGCCCCAGACTCAAGGTTCCTGGCCCCCCCTTGCCCCAGCTGCCTGGACCTTACAGGCCTCTGACACCCCCACACTGCAGCTGTTGTAAACGAGGAGCCCCCAGATCCAGGTCTTCGGGGCTCCTGTAGGGGGGAGGGCAGGTGTGCAGCAGCTGGGGCAGCAGCTCCGGAGCTCGGCGTGTATAGGTAAGCGAATGGGTCAGTCCTACTCCGCTGGCCTCTGCGGCCATCGCCTGCAGTTGTGACTGTGCTAATGCGGAAGGCGCGTGGGGGCGTGTGTGTGTGGACGCCTGGCCTGGCCTGGCCTGCGTAGCTGGGCCCACCTGAGCCTGGAGCCGAGGTGATAAGGGGGGGCGGGGCGCCCCACAGCTCGGAGGGCGCGGGAGAGGGCCCAAGGGAGAGGAAGGCTCGCCGGACCTCCCTGCTCTGCCAGCCAGGGGGCTCAACCCACAGCCATTGGCAGGAAGAGCATGAAGGCGTGAAGAGGCCACCGGGAACTCCAGGACTCTCTTTTACTCGTCTGCCGAATCCACAGAGAACCTGCCCTGTGCGTGCTGGCACAACAGGTGGGCAGGGGCAGTGTTTACGGATGCTGGGCTGGGGGCGTCAGCAGAGAGCCGCCGGGTTCCTGCTCCACAGCAGACGCTCACTGCAGTACCTGGGTAGGGAGGGTCCAGATGAGCCACACCCACCTTCAAACACAGAACTGAGAAAGGGGCTGAGACACTTCCGCCAGCAGCACGAGAAAGTCCCTCTTCTGTTCTAGTTTTTAGAATCGCTTACGTGGCTTGTTACTGGGGCTGAAGTGGAGCTCAGTAAATCAGTTAGGGCTCCCAACTGTCACCCCTTTGCAGTGGTCAGAGGAAGAGGATCGTGTGCAAGTTTCTGGGGTCAAAGGACAGAGGAGGGAGTTAATGAATCAAACAATTCCAGGCCCCCCAGCCCCCGCCATGGCCATGACCCTGGCTGGATCTGGGCTCCTAGGTCCTCAGCCATAAATCTGGGGTGCAAGGGAGATTGCCACAACGTGTCAGACCCCAGACGTGGCCCCTCTGGACACTGGACACGGGACAGCAGACCAATGGCTTGATGCAGAAGCTAGGTTCAAAAGCAGAATCTATCTCAGTTTGTTAACAGCACCCCTGAGGAGGAGGCGAGCGGGGGAGGGTGGAGAAACTGGAAATAAAGAATGTGGCTTTTCTTTATGGGGTGAGGCCTGTCAGAGGCAACTGGAGCCTGGGATTTTTCTTACCTGCTGTTCTTGATCAGGCAACCGTCCCTGGGGCAAGAGAAGCAGATCCTAGCCCTCTGCTGCCAGGCCAGGGGCCAGGGGCAGCTGGTTGCTTTGGTCAGGGCCACAAAGGGTGGCTTAAGATCACACAGCAATTCGGGAGTCACCCCTCTCTGCTTCCTGCCAGATCACACCTAGAAGTGCCAGTGAGCTCAGGCTTCAGGAAGTTCGCTTCAGGCTTAATCCTGTGAGATTTGAAGCTACATGGAAGTTTTCCCATGTCCCCCCCAGCAGCAGGGAGTATGAAAGTCCACTGAATGTTGCTTTCCATGCAACCTCAGACTGGTCAGTAAAACAGCCAACCCTCAGGGCTGGTGGGTCAGTCCTTTTCAGTGAAGCAGGAAAGATGTAGTCAGGTTTTATCTGCCAACAGAGCCCTTTCTGGAAGCCCTCTCTCCCCCGCCCCCCAAAGTATCCCAACAATCTAAAGATTAAATGACTATGACTGGGGGAGGGAGTCCATTCCAGGCTCTTGCCTAGCCACAGCCAAAGGCCAGGGCTCCTTGCACAATCCAAGTCTGAAACGATCAACACCAGTAAAAAGCTGAGAGGCTTCACTAACAGCATTCTCAGCCTGGGTCTGGGGGCGGTCAGGAGCTTCCTCAGTGACTCGGAAGGATAACAGCTGCTCCTCAGGTCTTTACAGAGCAAAGCCCATGACTGTGTATTCAAAGTGCTAAGAATTGTTTTTATTAATTATTTTCTGATTAAAAAATAAAACCTACTCATGCCAGCATTGTCTGTGATGGCCAAAATCTGGAAATAACCCAACTGTACAAAAACAGTAGAACAGATACATTAGTTCTGTGGTGGAATACTATACAGCAACGAACATTGATGATTGGCTACTTTGTGCAAGAAAACAAAAAAAGAATGTGGACCATAAAAGAGAAGACTCAAAAGAGAGTATTGAGCATGATTCCACCTATATCAATTTCAGTGACAGGCAAACCATACTGTTTGGAGAGGCATGCATAAATAGTTAAAGACCAAAATATCAAGAAACAACTGACGGGGAAAGAAAGGGGTTGGAGAGAGGTGTCTGGTGAACTGGAATTATATTTCTTGATTTGGGTTGGCATTTGTTTTGTAGCTGTTTATTAAATTGTACACTTGTATTTCTGGCACTTTTCAGCATGCATATTTTATAAT